CTGAGACTTTAGAGGACACTGACTTACTCCCATGATAATGGAGCCTTCCAGTCCCGGGTACACCTGAAAGTTGCTCAGGGCCTTTTTCCAGGGCTTCTGGGAATACGTATTTCATATTTCTTTTGTGAAAGCCTTAAAGCAGTGGGTTTAAATGCTTAATTAGAAGTGGATTGTAAAAGCTGGAAGGTGGTGTTCATTTCAAACAATTTGGTGGACACAGTCTCCTCCTCTCACCCCTTCCTAGCAAATTGAACAGTGACACCAAAACCTCTCTCCAGTCTCATGACAGAAGTGTAAAAAGGAGACTTTTTAGGAATAGTATGTTTTAGGAATAGTATGTTTTTCTTCCGTATAAACATACTTGTGCTCCAAGTACAGATTTGATCCTAGGACAGGGTTACATGCAGTGAGAAATAACCTGTTGTATCTGGTGAAGATACCTGTAGTAAAACTGTATTTGACACTTTGCTATTGATATTTCTAGTCTCTTAAAATAATTTGAGGATGTTATTCTAAACAGCCACATACAGAGGCATGGATTTTCTAGTTGAGTGGATGGCTGAAGTTTTTAGGACTTTTATTTTTCTGAAATGGCCCAGGCTTGGGTTTGGGGTTTTTTATGTCATATCTGAACAACTTCTATGTTAAGATTTCTGAGGATGGACTTAGGAGCTGGGTGGCTGAAAGTTGCCTACCTATGCCTTTCCAACATTGCATGGCAGTGACATTTCAGTTCAGTTCAGTTCAGTGTGGAAGCATGGAAGCATGGCTTTGAATTGCCACCTGATTCCTGCCCTGGCTGCCACCACTGAAGATGAGTGCATACACCACACTGCTCTCCAGAAGCACCTCTTTTGCCAGCAAAGATTTATAACAGATCACCCAGGACAAAGAGACCAACACCCACTCAAGGAGCGGCTGTAAGCCCAGTTGCCCTTTGCTGCTTCCACCTCTGATTTCTGGGAGATTGGGAGGAGAAAGAGAAGTGGTAGGAGATGATGGAAGTGGGAAGGGGAATGCAGTGAGGGGAGCCCCCGCTGGCATGGCTGGCCTGACCCATTCAGTGGGGCTGAACACGATAAATGCTGCTTTATCCTTTCTTGAAAGGAACAAGATAGTGCAGCCTGAATGCCTGGGTGTGCTTAAATAGGCAACTTGGGGATGCCAGAGTTGAGGACGTTTGAAATTGGAGCTCGCCAACAGCCAGGGAGCTGCCACAGGTCACCTGCCTTGCTCCATGGGGACTGGCCCAGGTCTAGCCAGAAATTGTCTATGGACGAATTGTAGTACAAATTCTTCTCTTTGTTGGTTGGCCTGTTTCCCTAGACCATGGCCTATAAAAATTTGAGTAAAAACAATTCTTAAATATTATTTTAAAGGGCAAACAGCCGCTCTGAAAGGTTTGACAGTTTGACATATAACGCCTGGTTTTGCTCACTGGGGAACGGGCGTGCAGAGCCCGGGCTCTCCTCCTGCTCCTTACAGGCTCCAGGTTTTTTTTTAAATAGCATCTAGTTGCTGTGCAGAGTCGCTGCGCTCCCAGCAATTTGACAGGCAACAAGTCTGCTTCAGTGATATTAAATCCTTTTAGACTAATTTGCGAGCAAGCAGAAAAACAGCTAGCACCTTCGGATCCAGTGCTCAAAACCAGGGAATCAGGTATTGCCAATTAAAGTGCCATTTCCAACCATCATATCAAGACTGATTACTTGCAGTTCCTCTGATAATGTCATGCCCTGCCTAAAGAGAAAGCAAGACAGAGTTTCTCTGCAGACAAAGGATCTGGGTGGACCAAACTCTTTGGTGGCTGAGGTGGAGGGAGCGTGATGCAGATCGTGCATACAACTGGGCATATGTGCAGTGTAAAGGCGAGTGCTGTGCCTGCTCTGCCCCCCGAATAGCCATGGGCCATTTTGGAGGGCCTCTAGCCCCTCAGTCACTGGCCTACTAGTTAATTGGCACACGGACTTCGTGACACATGGGCAGATAATATGACATTTTCGGTTTCTGTCACTAGCAAACGCCACGGCGTTGCTTGCACTAGTTGCTAAGAAGCTGTCAAAAACCATTAGCAGCTGGCTAAAGTTGCCCTATGGCATTTCCTCATGGCATCAGCAAAACAAGCATAAATCACCCAGCGGAGCCTCCCGCTATACTAATGAGGCTGTAAGCTTGTTTATGGACTAGCATCATTTCTATGATTATTTCCACCTTTTCAGTTCGCCTTCATTTGGCGGCAGGAGAAGTCAACTTCAGGAACAGAGTTGCTGCTGACATTTTACAAACGCGGTTCGTAGCTGCTACCGTGTGGCTGGTCAGTGGTGCTTCAAGTTTGTTTAGTGATCTTTAAAAAGAGGAAGGGGGGTAGGGGGAGGGGCGGCAAGAAAGCAGGGCAAGAGGAGAGGATCTCTGGAGACCTCACAGAGGTGAGTGTATCGAGTTGCAAAGTAGATGGAAATTCTAAAATCCACAATTGACCATTTAGACTACTCTCTGTGGTTTCAAGTCTTTACGGGATCAATTTTCCGTTTTAAAAAAGTAGAAGAGGTTAAACAATTTATAAAGCTATACTGAAGCATTTGCTCTTAGGATAGCTGGGTGATTGCTTATCCTCTCCCTGCCTTTCACTTTCTCCAACTTGTGTTGGACGGGGCCAGAGTTTATTGTTTTAGGCTTTTCTGAACATGCACCAGTATTTACACTGGATTGAAAGCATTTGCTTCCAATGAAAATCTTGTCTTAGATTACAGCCCAGCAGTGTAATTTCCCTCCCAGATGGGAGTAAAGTAGCAGTATTTGCCTAAAAACAGTAGGAAGAACAAACTGTGCATTAAGCCAAGGCTGTTTTTGGCTTGAGCTAATGATGTAACAGAAACCTTTTATTTAGGATAGGTCAACACCAGGGATTGAAGGAGGTGATCTGGCTCGCGCTTGAAAGGTTTCTCCATTGTATCTACATAAGTCTTCACTTAAAAAATCCTGTTCCTAGTGCTTCTGCTTTCATACAGCAGAAATAAACAGGAAAGGTTCTGGGGAGTGTTATAGGTGGAATGCAGAAAGCTTTTCCTCCCCTAATGGAGGATATAATTCAGGTGCCCCGGAGGCATGCTTTCAGGAATTCTCTTGCCCGAGGTAATGGGAAGCTAAGGCTGCTTGAAGGCCTTGATTATCTATTGATGCACAAAGCTGGAAAAAAAAAGTCATCTCCCTTGGATTATAGTAGATATTTCCATAAATTATCAATGAGTCCTCCTCCCGTCAGGCACGAGGCGATGCCTGCTAAATTAATCTGAAGGGGGTTTGAAATGAGGAGAGAGTGTATTTAAAAAAAATAGGGGATGGGGGGGAAGAGGGTGGGTGGACGGTTGCAAGGAGGTGGTGAAAGGCAGTGTCATTAGGTTAGAAGCTTTTCATTTTTAATCAATGAATGCGTAATACTTTTCTTTTCCTTGTTTGCCTCTCACAGACAGAAAGTGGATTAGCCTGTGGAATTTTAAATGCTGTTGAGTTGTTTCCTTTGCTCATGTTTCTTTTATGAATTATTATTTTATATGGTGAATTGCTTCTCTGTATAAAAGCTCTTTTTTTACATACTGGGCTTTCAAAGAATTTGTCAGATATCTGATTTCTTCATAAAAAATCTTGTTTGTTTCTATAACTACCCAAGGTTACCATTTCATTAAAGACAGAAGCCAAGTCATAAGGACAATTATAAATTTGCAACAGTCAGTAAGGTGCTAAAAATATAACAGTAATAATAACTTTTGTGTGTGTGTGTGTGCTGAAAGCTGTTTAATGAATCATAATTTTGACAGTCTATGTAGTGGGTTGTTTTTTGAAAATGTTTTAAAATAAATTTTTATTCTTAACAGAGATAGTTTTGATTCAGCCCAATTCAGATTACTTTCTTGATCGTTCTTCCCCTGGGGTGTTAAAAACACTTGCCTAATAACATTGCAACTCTGTGTTGCTACAAATACAACGTCCTTGGAAACCAGGATGTACTGTTCAATCCACATGCAGAAGATGCAAAGACTCTGTGGACTTCTTTATAACCTGCCTTCAGGGTTGGAAAGAAAAACTGCATGCAAACTGGCCAGGCAGTGCAACTTTTGGTTTTCTCTGACTGGTAGCCCATCAGCCCAGACCCAAGTTGGCTGCTATGCAGTTACGTCCTTCCATAGCTATGTTGCTAATGTGATGAGAACTGTCGGAGACCTTCTCTACATTAAGGAAATTCATTCTGGATCAGTTTGTTGTTTAACAGGAGCAGACACCTATTACAGATATGACACACTGGCACAAAGCAGGGTGTTAATTCCTACGGTGTATGTCAAATTGGTTCCTACTTATCCCACTATGAATTTCTTTCAGCTGGGGCTGGGAAGAGGGGAGGCCAGTTAGCTGCCTACTTTCCATCAAAAAGTTGGGGGAAGTCAAACATCTATAAAAGACTTAAAATAAGTGATGCCCCAATCCTCTGGTTATTTTTGAATTTGGGGAAAAAAATATGATGTTGCAAGAGAGCTGCATTCTCCTCGCTTTTGTGTCTCAGAGTGGGACAGGGCATCTAGCTTCACACAATTCATGGGGATGGGACACCATTGATATTTTCCTGATTGTCATCTCAGCGAAAGTAGCTGATTGGGATGGATTTTTGGGAAGTGACCTAGTGTGAAGAAAAGCCACCATTTCCACTTTTGCAAGCTGACTGCTTGCAACATTTTTATTTTTATTTTTTAAAACCCTTTTGATTTTGGATTACAGTGGCAGAGTTGGCCACAGTGTCCTTCAGGATAAGCCAGAATGGGGCTGACACAGTCCTGAGACCTTCCCTCTCTCCCTGTCTCTTTTCCCCCATCCCCTTAACCCCTGATGAATTATGGTGTTAAAGAATTTATACCTCATTTAAATATTCATGCAGTTAATACCCAAAGCCAGGCTTCGGCTGAAGTATCTAAAGGTAGCATAAGTCAAAATTTGATTCACTATATTTACAGGTGACGGCTTGGACAACAGTGTAGCTTCCCCCAGCACAGGTGATGATGATGATCCAGATAAGGACAAAAAGCGACATAAAAAGCGTGGCATCTTTCCCAAAGTAGCCACAAATATCATGAGGGCATGGCTGTTCCAGCATCTAACAGTAAGTGAACTCTAGATCAAATATGCAAAATAAAACACGGAAAATGTCATAGTTGTAGTAGTCATAGAAAGCAAAAAATGCGTATGATATTGCTGACAGGCAGCTCAGGGAACTTTTCCGAGCAGAGCTGTTGTTGTCTCATTTGCTAGATGCCAGGGGAAGAGCATGGAGCATATGTTTTTATGGGTTTGGGGTTTTTTTGTGTGTGTTGTTTTTAGATTTTTTGTTTTGTTTGTTTGTTCGAGTCGCAGTTGTTAACAGGACGTCACTGCAAAATGTGACTAAGCTTATCCTAATAACCTCGGAGACCTGTCCTGCCCTGCTGCTTGCACAGCTGCAGCTCCCCTTAGATGATGTGGGAATTGCTGCTTCGAAGCAGGGAGCAGCCTTCAGCGCCCGGTTCTGTGCTCCAGAGAACCACAGAAAAGAACTGGGGAGATTAAAAACAAAGCAAAAAGTGAACAAAGACCTTATTCAGATGTTTGTCAGAGATCATCAGAAGCTTCATGATGAAAGGTCTGAATGTATCTGGTTTAATAGCAAAGTATAATTTTTTTTCTTTGAGATGTTCTCATTCCCAGAGTGTAAGTTACTCCTATATATAATGTTATAAAAGGGGGAGGGTTGTGCACCTATTTCTGTTGCCACAGCTACTTGTTTGTTTGTTGTTGGGTTTTTTGTTGTTCTTTTTTAAAATTTTTTATTATTTTTTTTTATTCCTGGGATGAGAAATTGAAGCTCTGGACAGGTGTGTGGGGTTAAATGGGATGCTGGAGCTTCTTTCAAGGCTTTATATTGTGTACCACACCTTCTAATGTTAGCATTTAGAAAAGTTTCTAATGCCATTTTCCTTTTTTCATCATGTTGTGGTGATCTGTCACTGTGTTTTCATCCACTGTGAGGATGTGGGTCTTCAGCCCCAAGTTTTCTGTAAGCACTTTTCTGTGCCAGGAGGATACGGGCCAGGCAAGGGGTGCCGGGAATCTGCAGGTGGTAGTGAAGAACAGCTCTCGCCTCTAATCCCAGCAGTTGACTCTTCTTCCCTGCCTTTAGTTAGGGTCAGGGTGAAACCAGAAGCCAGCCAGCTAGGCCAGCCCTGGTGGGAGCCCTGCCAAGGGTGTACTTGTAAACTGGAGGAAGCGCTCACGCACATCACCCCTGCATCCCCTGCTGAGCCAAGAAACCAGATATCTGCCATGACTCTTGTCAGCACTGGGATCAGGCAGGGAATCCTGCCCAGTGTGGTCCTGGGTTGCTATGAATGAACCTTCATGCCAGAGCCCTCCTCCAAGGCCAGAGAGGGCCTCGGATACCACCAAGTTAATCTCTCTCTCTCTCTGTCAGACTCTAGGTCATCCACACCCTAGCTTTGCCAGCTCCTTAGCCCCGTCGCTGGAACATTCAGCACATGGCTTCTGAAGGCTGAGGTCCCTTTTGCTTTTGGTGGCACCCAGATTCTAGGTCTTCACCCAAAACAAGCTCACACCTGGTGTGTGTTTGTAGGTAGATGTGAGGTGAAGGACATCTGCCTCCAAAACAGTCCAAGGATGCTGTGCTGGCAGCAATGTTCATACCAGCCTGGTTTAGGTTCTGGTTTGAGGAGATGCTCCGGAAGCTCTGCAGTCAGTACAAGGCATACCAGGGGATACTGAGCAACTGCATGTCAGTCCCTGTAATTCCCAGCTGAGGAATTACAAATTAGATAGTGTGTATTACTATTAATATTTTTTTCCTGGAAGTGGCCTGTTGCTGTGTTTGTGCTAGTAAATCAAACAGTACCCAGGCCTGGGCACAGGAACATGACAGTCTGTCCTGTTAAGCTGCTTGAGCAGTCTCCAGCATGCTCTTAGCCTAGTCTGGATACCACCCTTCAAACCCATTCCTGGGAGCATAGAAGATAGCAGGGGTGACTTCTGAAAGACCTTGTGGTAGGATCCAGTCCATGTTGAGCATTTAGCTCCGTGGGCTTGACCTGATCCTGCAGCTGCCTTTATGCACAGTCTCAGGACCAGAGAACGGACCCTATCACTGTTTCATCCAGATTAAGTGTAGGGTGCAGGTGTTGTTTTGCTCTTCTCCTGTGCTGTAATGGTGTGCAAAAGAGAAGATGAGAGTATCTGTGGAGACAGCTGCTCCTAGGAGACACCATCTGGACATCTGCTAGTAGGGTGTTCTCTTCTTCTCAAATAGAGAAGGAACCCCTCCACTGCACTTTCTGCCTTGCAGCATAAAGCTAAAGCTTGCTTTGAAAATCTACTATCTCCTGTGCAGATCCATCTCAGCCAAGTGTAGCCTGCAGATTTATTGCAGGGTAGCTTTCTTCAAGCAGCATCATGGTAGCTCCAGGCTTGTCTGATCAGGGCTCTTTAGAGCACAACTGGTTTACCAAGACCAACCTTCTGCAGCTAGGACCTTGAGACAGACCTTTCAAATTGACTCTAGATGGGTTCGTGGACAGTTTCCCCAAATTAAAACATGTCTGGACAACATTGTGGGCTCTTCAAAGTGCACACTTCAGCTGGGTGTGCTCTGACTGGAGTGAGAAGGCATCAGAGAACTTGTCCCTCTAGAATAGCAGTGGGTTTTGTGTGTTCTCCAGGTAAGCACATTGTTAGGACGGGGAAGAGTCGACGCTACTGTTAGTGCTAGAGCAATATAAAATGTTTACAAGCTGCTCAGGGTGCTGTACTCTTTAGTCTTATGTGGGGAGGAGAAGATGGGCCATTCTCCACACCTCTCTACAAAAAAAACCAAACAGGCCCAAATCATAGCTGCAGTCAGACCAGAGAAGTAGGAGGATGACAGACTGGGGACAGCAATGTGCCCTTGTGGCCAAGAAGGCAAATGGTATCCTGGAGTGCATTAAAAAGAGTGTGTCCAGCAGGTTGAAGGAGGTTCTCCTTCCCCTCTGTTCTGCCCTAGTGAGACCACATCTGGAGTATTGTGTCCAGTTCTGAGCTCCCCAATTCAAGAGGGACAGGGATATACTACAGAGAGTCCAGTGGAGGCTATGAGGATGATTAAGATGGAACATCTGTCTTACAAGGAGAGGCTGAGAGACCTGGGGCTGTTTAGGCTGGAGAAGAGAAGACTGAAAGAGGGTCTTATTAATGTTTACAAATATCTGAAGGGTGGGTGTCAAGAAGAAGGGGCCACTCTCTTTAGTGGTGCCCTGTGATAGGACAAGGGGCAACAGACACAAACTGGAACACAGGAAGTTCCAGCTGAAGATGAGGAACAACTTCTTTATTGAAAGGGTGACAGAGCACTGGAACAGGCTGCACGGAGAGGTTGTGGAGTCTCCTTCTCTGGAGAGGAGACTTTCAAGACCTGTCTGGATGCGTTACAGTGTGAACTGCCCTAGGTGATGCTGCTTTGGCAGGGGGATTGGACTCAATGATCTCCAGAGGTCCCTTCCAACCCATACCATTCTATGATTCTATGAGTCTATCACTGAAGGAATTAAGGCTCCAGTTAATTTTTGAGGGTGTCTGGTCCTCATGGCTGCTCATGACCCTACACACAGGCATGACAGTGTCCTCAGCTGGGTTCCTCACTGTGGGAGGGAGGTCATCCGGAGTGTTGGTCAACTGAGGAAACTAGAGAGCCCATATCCTTTATTTATTTATTGTTAGTGAATTTGGTCATCCCTAGAGTGTCCTCCCTAAAGTGGGAGGTGAGGAGGTTCTGTTTGGTCAGGGAGACCGAAGGGCATGTGATACCTCCCTTTTCCCCCAGTGCTTAACATCCTTTCACATTCCAGTCCTGAGGGAAGAAATGAGCAATGGTTAACCATGAAATCCAGCATCTCCTTGACCACTGGTGCTTCCTAATTGGGGTGTTAGTTGGGATCCCTCCTTTTCAAAGGAAATGTTATGTTTTTTTCTCACAATTGTAATATTAATACACATCAGTGGCATGGAATTAAACAAAATAGACAGTAATTGCTGTGGCTGTCATACTAATGATTAATGGTTGGAAAGATTTAAAATAAATGTTGGACTAATACAGTCTTTCAAAAGTGTATAGGCTGGTTAATTCCTTCTGTGCAGTTATTCCATCTCCAAGAGTATTAAATCTTCCTTGTGTACTGACTTAATTTCCTAAGGTTTGTCCATTGGCTCTCATTTCCTGCTTAGGAGAGAGTTCTTTTTCATCTTTGAAGGATGAAAAAAATAATAAAATAATCAAATGCAAGGCCACAGCCTTTTGGTTTGTGGAAGTGTTTGGGCAATAGTTCCCGCTCAGTGTCAGTCTGTACACCCCCCATGATTTTGACTGATGTGCAGAACTGAGTTGACATGTGCCTGAAGGGTGGGCAAGCACTGTCCTCTGTGGGTGCAGGCAGTGTGCTCTGAAACATTCCAGGGTGTAAATTCATCCAAATTGCGCCCCTCCTCCCCTCCTTTTTTATTTCCTTCCCCTTGGAATAATGACAGCAAAAAAAAAATTGGCTAAAGCGATAGTGGAAGTAGTGACCAGACACTTAGGACTTTGTAGGATTTATTTTAACTGTTTGCTATTCTGACTTAATTGTTATTAAATGTATGGGTTGGAAGAGCTGCCTGGGTTGACCTTCAGTTAGGCAAAACATAGCTTTGGAGCTTGTTGAATTTTTTTATGGTAGATTATGACAGCAGCCTGTAAATGTTAAGGTTTGTGAAATCTGTTTTTAGGATTTTGCCATAAATTGGAGGTGGAAGGAATGTCCTGTTATTATTTGGATAAAAATATCAATAAATAAGGCTGCTAATAGTTGGGTGAAGAGATTAGCACATCCCCATAATATAAAAGTTGAGTCAAAAAATAAGGAGAGGCTTGTGTGGTGGCATCAGATGAACATCAAATGACATGGCAGGGTCTAGAGGAAGGACTGAGGTGAACGAGTCCTGTGCTAGAGGTGGGCTCCAGAAAGTTGGCCTAGTGATAATTTCACCGTGTGCTGCAGCATGGCAACATTTTACATACCCTCTTTTCTTTTTTGTTATTATTATTTATTG